AGCATTTGGAGAACATGGCTTAGATACATGGCTTCCTGCACTGGGCCGAGAAATAGGGAAACTCACTCACCAATACACAGGCAGTGTCCCCCAAAAAACAGTAAAAGGAGAGGAAGAGCAGACTCAGTGAACTAGTTTTCCATTGCTACCAAACTAGCAAATGACCAAACGTAGCAGCTTAAATAATACCCATTTATTAGCTCATAGTTCTGTAGGTCAGAAGTCCAGTTGGGCTCAACTGGATGCTCTGCTCAGGGTCTCACAAGCCAAAAATCAAGAGGCCGGCCAAGCTGAGTTGTTACTTGGAGGCTTTAGGGAGAGATCCGCTTCCGAGCTCACACAGGTGGTTGGCAGAATGTAGTTCCATGCAGCTTTAGGATGGTGGTCCCATTTCCTTGCTGGCTGTCCCCCAGGGGTCACCCTCAGCATCTTAGCACTGCTGTCTTATTCTTGCAAGTGCCTGCTCCATCTTCCAGCCAACAATGCCGACTTCGCTTCTGCCCCAGCCTGAGCAAACACTCCATTTTTTAATGGTCTCCTGGGATTAGATTAGGCCCATCAGGATAATCTCCCCACTGGTTGACTCAAAGCCAACTGATTAGTAACCTTAATTACATAGGCAAAATCCCTTTTTTTCCATGTAACATAACCAAAGCATGATATCTCATGATATCTCATCATATTCACAGTAGCAGGGATTAGGGTGGGAAATCTGGGGGGTTCGTCTTATGATTCTGCCTTCTACAACTGGTTTCTGCTTCCAGAGCTACTAACCAGGTAATTCAATCTTTTGTGGTGCAGGATGAATGAGGACGTAAAAAGAGGTCAAGAGTTTAACGCTAAGGAATGTTGCTCCACATAGAAACCTGAAGCCCAGGAAGGAGTGGTTCCACCACCTCCCTCTTACCCACCCCCACTCCCCAATAAATCCAAATAGCTACAACACAAAGACAGTTATAGTTCGAGAGTCAGGCAAGAGATGTGGAGACCATGAGGAAGCATGTGCTTGGTCCCTGAGAGGGAATTTCACCTGAAGTAGAGGGATCTGACCCCCCTCCAAAATTAGGACAGGGAGGGTGGCCCTTATTCCTGCAGGACTCTCCTGAACAGCTTGCACCGAATTCAGGATGCGTAGGGGAACGTGGCCAGCAGAACTGTGGTATGGGAGTTTCATCAGGAAGTACTGTACAAAATTAGTGGGAACCCCTTTTTAGGAGACCTTTGCAAGAAATCTGCTGAGAGGTCATGAGAACTTCAACCGGCATGATGGCAACAGGAACAGGGAGAGGGATAAACAAGCAAAGAAACCAGAAAGAGGAATTGGCAACAGATTGGTTGAAGTCAAAGATATAAATTCATGGACCCAAGCCTGAAAACTGGGAGAATGATGTTGCAGTGGAGAAAACAAGAGAAAGAACTGGTTTAAGGTAGGAGCTGACGAGTTTGAGCTTCAGTATAACATACATTGCAAATGTCCATTTTCCCAATCTCTTCCATTTCACACACACACGCATGGACACACACAAACACCCATACACACACCTCTCAACTTTGGTTTTCCCTCCTCTTGCCACCTTGCCTGTTCCCTCCCTCCTCCAACAAGCTGCTACTCCTCCTTCCCTGCATCCCACCCACTTCCCCACTCTCTGCCCCATTTCTGCTGCTACCGCATCTCTGAATCTCCTCTGGCAAAGGTTACCTGGCTCTCCCTTTAGACAAATCCAAAGGAATCTTTTCGGTCCTTTTCCTCATGGCTCTTCGTAGGCCTTTGGGCCATGGCTTTCCTTCCTCTCGAAGTTCCCATTTTCCTTTGGCTTCTAAGACCCTCTTCTCTTCTCTTTCTCTTCCTAGCTCATGCTCCTTGGTTGCTCCCTCTTCTTCTGCCCATCCCTGGAATGTCGATGATCTCAGGCCCTGTGGATGCTCTCTTCTCATGGGACACAGTCTCTGTACAGTGTGACGCTCCCACGGTTATTCTGAGGATGTTCAACTCACTACTCCTACAGGAGACCTCACCCCTGAATTCCTAGCTGTCTTTCCCACTAGCACTTCAGATCTTTCTGTACATCCAAAGCCAAATCCTGATGTCTATCTCCAAACCCACCCGCTCCGGTGGTCTCTACTGTGACTAGTGGCCAGATCTGGGAGAAACTGCTCTCCCTCCTCACCCTGCCCCCTCTTCCCCCTCTGTTGCTTCTACCTTGATTGAGATCATTGCTATCCCTTGTCTTATGACCACAGTGACTCCCTACCCCTCAGCCCTCCAGTTCACCTATCCACCTTTGACAGACTTGTTTTTGTGAAATATGCATTAATTATGTTATTCCCAGTTTGCAAGGTTTGGTGTCTTCTTCTCGCCCCACCCTCACCTCCCTAAGCCCTTCCTCCGGCCCTCCTAAAAATCTACCCAGCCTCCAAGAGTCAAATCAAATATTCGCTCCACTAGGAAGGAAGTCTTTCCTGAGCCCCACAGGCGGTGGCGGCCCCTCTTCTTCCTAAGTCCCCTCCCACCAGCTCCCCAGCCCCTGCACATGTGTCCGTCACAGCCATGACGCTTCTTTACTCACATCTATTTGTCCTTTGTCACCAGGCAGCCCAGCACCCTGCCTGGTACATAGGAAGCATTAGACGAATGCTGAAGGCAGGCATATCAAATACTTCCTATCTAGAAAAGTCCTAAAGATGAAACTTTGAATGAAAGGAGGTAGGAAAGGCTAGAACGCCATTCTGTGTGTATTATGAATTTAAAAGCCTCTTGGCCGGATGGACCTTGACCTGCTCCTCAAACTCTGTGGATGACCAGAAATGACTTTAGAATTTACTCCTAAAGACGGGGTGAAGAATTTCAGAGATATTTTTTGATGGAGACTGTGAGATGGGGAGGGTAAAAGTGAGTGACGGGATCAGAGTTAATTTTTCAGAACTCTACAAAGGATACCCATAAAAATACACAGTTGTGATTAAGAAGGAGCACAGCTCACCGTGCATGTGGACCCCTATGTAGGGGTGTGTGTGTGTGTGTGTGTGTGTGTGTGTGTGTGTGTGTAGAAGCCAAGCACAAAATGATCTTGGTCAAGTTTCCTAAATTTCCCAAGGGTGAGGTTTCTCATCTGTAAAGTGGGGGTAACTAGTGGTGTCCTTGCAAGGATTAAATCAGGCAAAGCAAATAAAAGCACATTGGCCACTGCCTGGCATTTATGGGGAGTGAGGGGTGTTGGGGGAGGGAGTGAGAGCACCAGCGCTGAAGGATGAGCCACTGCCAGGTTCAGCTGTCACCCTCATGAGCACATGCAACCTCTCCTCTCTCGAAGGCCAGGTTGCACTTCAGATCTCCACAGGTGCTGCTTCACCTACCCACCAGCTTCCCACCCTCCACCTCCTACCCCTGCCCCAGTTTAATCTTGTTGGCTATGTTCTCAAGGCTACTGATTGATACACAAAAAACTAAGAAGGTTCTTAATAACTAAAGTACATACTTTTCAAAATCCACTCACTTTTGCCTTTGTTTTTAGGTTAAAAAAAAATCTTGACTTTTTCCTCAGAATCACTGAAATATTAGGTGTGTAGATAAACCCTTGTTTTCCCACTCCGGTACTCCGATTTCTCAGCCTCAGACATGGAAAAGCTCAGGGTCCCTGGAGAGAATTTCCAGGATGTTTTGTTACACTGGGTCTCTTCAGCATAAACTTGGCAGTCTGGTCAATCTTACTGTGGTGGATTCCCCCCACCCCCATGCCTGTGAAAACTGAGTTTACCTAACTTCAGAATACATTTGTTATTTTTTACCTTATCATTCATAATTAGTGCAAATGATTCTTTCCTGCCCTGTTCTTTTTACAAAAAAAAAAATATTTATGGAGTCATTTTATGTACTTATAAACCACAATCTTGTTTTTTTTTTTTTAGGATGCTCCTTCGAGACTATACATATTTAATTCCTTTAACATTTCATCATGGGGCAGTCCTTCAGAACCCCTTATTATCTTAGTTGCTCTTTTTGCTTTGGCAAAAGTATAAGACTAAGGAGCTGCAAATCTTGTTCTCCTGCCTATTTAAATAGCGTCTGGAAATCTAAAATAATTACCTCCTTTCTTATTTTTAAAGTTTTTTTAAAGCCATATTATACGAATATTGTGGAGTGGAGTTGAAAGCTCTAGGTCTGCAACATTTGAAATGTTCAAATCCTGTCCTTGAAAAATAGTATTTCCTCTTTGTTACTCAGTGCTGACCATTACCAATGGATAAGGCTGATGACTTTCAAATTCACAACTTTATATGTAGATATTCAAAGGAAAGAGAAATAGCTTCATATGACTTTGCTTAATGCGTTTACCCATAGCTGTACATGCAGCAGTAGACAGTAAGTTATCTGTATTTGGGAATTTTTGTATGATAAATTGTTTCCAATAATAATTGATAGCATCTGTTATTTCAAGAATGAGTGGTTTTGATGTAATCTGCCCTCTCAGCAGAGAGAAGTGAAGGAAAGCAAGTAACGGGAGAATATTTCTAAAATGTCCTGTCATTAGAAGTAAATGATCATAAATGTTTTTGCATTAAGTTTGGGTTTGATTTTAATTTCACTTTGAATTCTGATTCATTCCTACATCTTCCAAATGTATGTTTGAGCTTCATTAAATAAATCACATTTGCATAACATATAGAGTTTAAAAGAGGTGATTCTATGATAGATAAAGATTCAATATTAGTTAGCAATTGGTTGAAGCTACATAAAACCATGTGCATATGTAACGGTTCATTTTTTATTTGATGATTTACTGTTTTAAATTATTTTTGTGTCAAAGCTATATGCTATAAAAATCTAGTACTAAAAAGTGTGAGAAACAATGAGCTTGCAAAAAAAGTTAGGGGACAATTTGCTTTTTAAACTTGCATTTATTGCAATTAGAATGAAAATTCATCAAGTATCAGTAAATTTGGTGTTTATTATCAGTATATTCATACAATTATTTTTATTTTCCTACTTTCTATTATTTCAGAATACGTACTTGGAATGAATCCTTCTAGAGACATTCATGGTATGTTAGATTCCAAATTATATTTTTTATAAAGTATGTACATTCATATATGCATATATATGATTTTTATCTGTGCATATCTCTGTGTAATTTACGATACAATTTAACCAAATAATTAAGTCTTTTTTGCTGATTCAAATATACTTAAAAGCAGTTCTCCATATTGTAAATGTTACACCGTATAAAATATTCCAGTGAAACCTTAAATGATACCTTCAGTTCTCCAGCATTTACCACAGGTGCATTCTGCTATTATTAAATGACTCTACACAACTCTCTAAAAAAAAAAAAAAGAAAGAAAGAAATCTAGCTTGGCTTCTTTCTGTTACCACCCAGTTTATTACCTTTGCTATACCAGTGGTAATGCAAAAATTTTATGAGGGTAAAATGTTTACTAAGCATCCCTAAATTTAAAAAAAAAGATTAATTTTAAAATTTTCTCAGTTTGCTACTTATGAGGTGCACAACTGATTTTTGAACTTAAAGTAAAATAATTGTACATTAACCACAGCACCTCATGGAAACAGTCCCATGGAAGAAAGATGTAGTGGAAGAACTAAGGAATCTCGTCCCCATAGTAATTAGATTTCAAAAGTGATATAATCTCAAAGCCATTTCAGAGAGAAAAATGATTAATTAAATTCCAATGTTCCAAACTGGACAGTGTGTATAGCAGGCTATTTGAACATATATGTTACTCTGCATTGAAATTGTTCTCTATCCCTGTGACATCAGTACCAACTACAGCAATTTGGTCCAGAACTATAGCAGGATACCTTCTCTATTTTTTTCTAATGGTCATTTCAAATAGAAATAATTGTTTTAGAAATATTACATTTTTAGAAATGTAATTTTAGAAATACCACATTACTCACAAAGGCTAATTTTGATTTGAGAGAAGTGTTGAGACTCTAATCCTATCTTTATGTTTGTTTTATTTTCGAGGGGGTTTTGAAAGAGCAAAAAAAATGTCAACTATTTCTTTTCTGAGACCACCTATAGTTAATATTTACCTAAAGTTATAGAAGAAAAACCTTAATGAACCGTTATTGTTTTCCAGTGAAATTGTTAGTTTTATTCCAACTAATCAAATATTACCTTTTAAATTCACTGTGGAAATTTACATTTCCTTCTTACGAGCTATTTTCAAATCCCTCCTCGCTCCCCCCCCAAAAATAAAAACAAATTTGGAAGAATCTGTCATGCAGCATCCGCCCAACATATCTCTTCGTTGTATTTTTTATTTTGCGTTATGACAAAAGTAAATTTTAGTGTTATTCCAGGGAAGCACTGGAAGTGAACCTGGTAATGTTTCCTTTCCTTTCTCAGATAGGCAGAAGGGAAATTCTATATTGTCGCTAAAAGGAGCGCTTTCGGTGGAAAGGACTTCGTAGACAGTGTTTCTGGACTTTACAGTGTAAGCTCCTAAAAAGCCCTTCAGACTCAGGGGTTCCCTGTCCCCCTCAGCCTAGCCCCATGCTGCCTCTTGCCATTCATTTTTAGTTCCTCAAAAGGACGGGGCAGTGGTTTTTCTGTTTGTTTCTAGTTTCCAGGAGCGCACCGCGCGGCGCACTTAAACCCGCGCGGGCCGGGGAGCCCAAGTGCCCTGTGGTCCGCTGTGGAGAAAAGCAGCAAACGCTTTCGCTGCTGTTATCGTCGTCGGGATTCCAGCGCATTTATCGGTTGAGACTCCTAGCTGAGCAGCGCCCACGACGCTGCCTTTGCAGGCTTAACTTGGTGCATGCACTGCTGCCACTAACTTTCCTCGCTTGAAAAGGGAACTTGACCCCCTCCGGAGACGACAGCAGGAGGGTCTGACTCGCAGCCCCTCGCAGGGGGTTCAGGATTTTAGGCAAGTGGCCCGAGCCCCAAAGGAGCCTCCTTTGACCTTTCTGAGGGGCAGGTTTCCCGAGTCAGCTATCTCCCCCGAAAGCCCACTTTTGCCTCCGCCACACTCTCGTGCTCCGTCCCCGTCCCCGGGGTTCCTTGGTGGCTTAGGGAGATGCATTGGAGCCTAGGAGAAAAGGTTTCGCTTGCCCGGACCTCGCCTGGACAGCAGGCAGCGTCCAAGTCCGGGCGCAAAGACACGGCGGCCCGGGAGGGAGCGGCGGCGGGCCGGCGGGCACAGTGATCTTTGGCATCGCTCAGCCAAGGTGGAAAGTGAGTTAGAGACGTCTGGGATTTTCACAACTGAAATAGGGCTTCTTAAAAAAATCATTTTAAAGGAAAAACAGAAAAGTCTTCCTCTAGAGACCTCACACCCTTTTACAGAAAGAAACCTGTAGATGGGTGCTAGCGGTGTCCTGGCTTTGCAGGAGCGAAAGGAGCGAGGGGACCGGCCCACCTCCGGAAGGCTGGAGGGAGCCGAGGCCGCCGGCCAGGGCGTGCCTTTATCCCGGGCTCCTGCGAACAGCGACAGCCCTGGGCCGGCCGATGGCGGTGCCCAGGCAAAGGAGCTTTGGGAAGCGACTCCGACTCAGGCCGAGCCAAGGTTCCCTGCAAGGCCGGCCGAGCCGCTAGCTCCCGGCCTCGAGGGCGCGAAGTTGCGGCTCAAGTTGGCTCTGGAGACCGATTCTTGTCAGGGAACTCAGGTTCTTCCCCGAGCGAACGGAGGCCGCTGAGAGGCAGGCCGGCAGAGCCCCGCGCCGTCGGGGGCGTTCCGGGCGCGCTGCGCCGCCGCCGGGTGCCCGGGGTGACCAGCGAGGGCGGCTGCTGCCCCCTGGCGTCTGCCCCGAGCCGCGGCCCGCAGCGCTTCCCGGACGCTCCGCACAGCTCGGCCGCCGACCGCTCCGGCCTGGGGCGAGGGAAGAGGCCCTGGCGCCCGGGAAAGGCGTCGGCCCCGGCCCCCCACGGCCCCCTCCCCCGCCAGGTCCCAGCGGTGACGCCCGAAGGGAGGCCCGGCGCGGTGGCCTCCCGCACCCCAGCCGCGCGCCCACGGGGAGGGAGGCGGCGGGAATGAGAGGCCCCTCGGAGCCGTAGGAGGGACCCCTGCGCCGGAGAGCAGAAGCTCAGGGGCTCCGTGAAGCAAGCGAAGAAGCCCGCGGTGGGGAGGGAGGAGGCCCCCGGGAGGGCACAGTGGCGTGCGTGAGAGGCCCCGGGGGAGGAAGGGCCGCGGGGAAGCGGCTGGGGCTCGGCGGGGGAGGGCGTAGACTCGGCGGGGAGCGAGAGACCCCGCCGAGTGGGGTCGGGACTGGGCCGCGCGCCGGGCCGGGCCAAAGCCCTCTGAGGTCCGTGAAAGTGCCCGCGGCGCCGCGAGGACGGGCGCAGCGGGAAGTTGCCGCCCGCGCGCAAAGCTGGGGTGGGTTCAGAGCCCCGGGCCGCTGGTGGGCGGGAAGGGGAACTGGGGCCGCTTCCGGGGAGCCGGAGGCTGGATGCGGGGCTGGGCGCGTGGGGGCGGCCCAGTGGCGAGTTTTCTGCCTGCGGGAAGCCGACGCTCCGAGGACCCGCAGCGAGCCGATCGCATGCTTTCAACTTTCCCTTCAGTCAGTCGCCTGTCCTTTGGGGTCTTTCTCTTACTAGGGAACTCCTCTGCTGACCGCTGGGCACACTCAGCCAGCGAGGCCTGCCGCATAGTTAAGCCGCAGCCCAGACGCGGCGAAAAACACCAATTAAATAAAACAAACCAAGAGACAATGCTAAAAGGACAAAAACCATGTTGTGGAGCACCATCTGGCCTTATTAAAGGAATCAGTCCCACTTCGCTGCAGCTGCCAAGCGGGCTGTGGGGCGCTCAGAGCTGCTCTCCGGCCCCCTCGAGGCCAAATCCCACCCCCGCCCTGGAAGCGGAGGCTTGGCTGTGGGCAGCCGCGCAGGGCCCGGGGCCGCCCGGGAGCTCGAGCCCTGGTCCCAAGAGCCCCAGCGCGACCGCCGCGTCTCCAGGGCGCGCGGGGCGGCTCCCTCCAGTCGCTCTCCGGGCCCGGCCTCTCCTGGCGCGGCGCGCAGGCCGGGTCCTCCCGGGGCCAACCGGGCCTCTTTCTCCTCCTCCTCCCGGGTCTCCGGACCGTGGCCGCCAGTGGCGCCGCTGCACACTACAGCCCCGGGCCGGGCAGCAGGGTCGCGACAGGGCCCGGTCCGTACCCGGGCGGGGCCCTGAGCAAGGCTGTGCGTGTGTGCGCGTGGCCCCGCGTGGCTGCGGGAGCGCGGGGGTGACCGCCGCGCCCGCGGATTCCCGCCCGGGCTGCGTACAGTAGCGCGCGGCGGCGGGGGCGCGCGGGCCAATTCCAGGAGCCGGCGGCCGCGAGCCGCGCCCTGGCTGATACCGGAAAGGCCTGTGATTGGCCGGTGGCCGCCCCTATGCAAAAGAGCTGAGGGAATGGAATTCCTCGGGCCGGGTTTACAGTAAAAGCACGTTCATTTCCAGGCACTCCCATTCATAGAGCCAGCGCGCGCGGGCGGGACGGGCGCCCCGCGGCCGGACCCAGCCAGGGCACCACGCTGCCCGGCCCTGCGCCGGCAGGCACCTCTTCCCGGGGCTCCTGGAAACGCTAGAAGGAAGTCAACCTTTGCTGCTTCTCCTCGACCTGCGTTGGACCTTCCTCCCCCCCCCTTTTTTTTTCCTCTTTCTTACTTTTGAATTAACTGGCTTCTTGGCTGGATGTTTCAACTTCTTTCCTGGCTGTGAACTTTTCCCCGATTGTTTCCTTTTGCAACTGCGGGAGAAAGTGCGCTGTGGTTCGAGGCAAGCCGTGAAGTTGCTTGTGCGTGGCACTGTGTGTGTGCGTGTGTAACCCGAGGCGCCCGGTCTGTTTCAATCTGCGCTGCGGAGCCCCCCCGCCCCAGGCCCGCTCCACCTGCTGCGGTTACGCAGTGCTCGTGGGTATTTGTGGGAGCAGCTAACCGGCGGGCGCTGGGGCGACGCAGGAGGAAGATCGTCTGGCTGCTGCCGGTTGAAGCCGGGGCTGACTCACCCAGCCGATGTAGACGGTGGCTGGCTTCCGAAGAGTGCGTGTTTGCGTGTGTGTGACTCGGCTGCGGCTCAACTCCCACCAAACCACAGGGTCAGCCACAAACTAACCAACATCCCCAAACCCGAGTTCGCAGATGTGGAGAGCTGTACCCTGAGCATCATCAACTGGGACCTTTTTTTTTCAAGATTAGCTGGAGATCTTTGAAAAGCTGAATTTTCTGCACTGAACGTTGTGACAGAATTTATTGAGAGAACATGACAAGTACTTCTAGCCCAGCCCTGCTCCAGCTACTGAAGCTGATTTTCAAGGCTACCTAAAAAAAAAAAAAATCTGCAGCGAACATTAATGGATGTGTGTTGTGTTTAAATTCTCTACAGATTGTATTGTAAATATTTTATGAAGTAGAGCATATGTATATATTTATATATACGTGCACATACATTAGTAGCACGACCTTTGGAAGTCGCAGCTCTTGCTTTTGAGGACCAAAGCCAGTTTTGCATGGTAAAAGTGGCGTTGTGTATGGAAGATACTCCTGTATTTTGTGTTGTGTTGGGACTTTAAACAAAACTCACCCGCAAAAAAAACTGACAGGCGATTAACTACTGGAACTTCCAGATCATATATATGCTGGTCGTTTTGCTCTCCAAATAAATATTTTAGGAAGTATATGGAAATTTTGCCTCCAAGAACTTTTGTGACAGCCAAAGACTGTACTTAAACTCTCAAAGCAAGACTCGAAGAAGATAGTGTGCCTTTGGCCTTGACTTTGGATGCTGGTCGCCCACTTTGATGCACTAAGCGGTCGGTCGCTAGGAGCCCTGGCCCGGGTCTGAGGCCGATCGGCACAACTAGAACTTCCCCCCTCCTGGACTGTCAGTAATTTAGTCTCCCCCTCACCAGCCCCCCCGCAGTAATAAAGGCCCCTGAACTTGTATGTTGGTCTCCCGGGAGCTGCTTGCTGAAGATCCGCGCCCCTGTCGCCGTCTGGTAGGAGCTGTTTGCAGGATCTTAACTCAATCGGCTTGTTGTGATGCGTATCCCCGTAGATGCCAGCACGAGCCGCCGCTTCACGCCGCCTTCCACCGCGCTGAGCCCAGGCAAGATGAGCGAGGCGCTGCCGCTGGGCGCCCCGGACGCCGGCGCCGCCCTGGCCGGCAAGCTGAGGAGCGGCGACCGCAGCATGGTGGAGGTGCTGGCCGACCACCCCGGCGAGCTGGTGCGCACCGACAGCCCCAACTTCCTCTGCTCCGTGCTGCCTACGCACTGGCGCTGCAACAAGACCCTGCCCATCGCTTTCAAGGTACTGGCCCGGAGGGGGCGGTGGGAGGACTGGCGGAGGCCAGCCGAAGCCCGGGGCGACCCGGAGCGCAGCGGCTGGGCGGGCGGGGCCGGCGCTGCCCCCCGGAGCCGCTCGTCCATCTTCCTGCTCTCGGGATGCGGGGGATGCTGTGTTGCCATGGAGACCCTCGGGAGGGACCCACCTCAGCCCGCCGGGCTGCCTGCCGGGAGGGATGGACAAGTCAGGATGTCCCCAAAGACATACACTGAGAGGCAGCCTGGACTTCCCTGGCAAGGGTCTCAGCTTTGATACAAAGTAGGAAAAGTTACAACCCAGCAGAGACAAGCCGTCTGCTTCCATACAGCTGCCCTCGCTTCTGGATTAACACCCAAACCATTTTGTGTCCTTCAGATGAAGGCATCAGGAAATAAGAGAGATACTTTTATACCTTGAGGTCAGTAAAAATAAACCAACAAAGGAAACCGTGAGGAATTTTTTTTTTCACCCTTTCTTTAAACGCCCTATGGGAATTAGCATGTCCAAAGTCCACGGCGGGCGGCGTAGTTAAGTTTGCAAAAGTTTCCTGAAGACTTTTGCGAGCTTCTAGCCTGCTCCTGCCAGAAGCTGCAAGTAGCGAATCCTGTTTCTTTCTCTGGAACCCTCCTGAACCTTATCGCCGACTCACCTAGATACGCCGGGGGCGGCGAAAGGTGACGAGGCTGTCTGCCGAGAGCCGGGAGGTCCGAGCTGCCCGCTTTCCTGCCGGGGAGGGGGCGGCGTGTAGCGGGCGGCCTCAGCTGAGCCGCTGCAAAGGTCTCCCGTCCCTTTTCACCCTGATCTTCCCCTAGCTTTGAGCAGCCTTTAAAAACCTTGGCCTTCAACGGGTATATAAAAACAACCCCGGGCGTTTTTAAACAACCACCCTGCTTCACTGGCAACAAGAAGTAGGAATTTAATTTCTGCGGTGGGGATTCTGTTTTGCCTTTGGTGGGTTTTAAAAAGTGCAACTTTTTAAAAACTTTTTCAATGCCGGTCATTTCCTGTTCATTTAAAGGGCTAATGAAGGCAGACGATTCAGACTGTAAAGATTGGCTACTCTTTAAAAAAAAGAAATTCTGGTTCAATAATTATCCCCTTTAAGGGGAGATTAATTTAATGTAAGCTTTTTACAGTTCCATGACTCGGCTGGGTCTTGATCTAATTACAATGAATAATGTTCACTTAAAAAAAAAAAGTACTGTTGGAGTTCTTTATTTTTAAGTTTTATACACTTCCCAAACTTAGATTGTGATTTTTAAAACAAAACAAAATTTGCAATTGCCTATGGTCTACAGAATTGCCTCCTTTTGCACTCAGTTTTCTGAAAGCAGCGTTTTGTTTTGTTTTATTTTTTAGTGGGGGTGGGAATGAGAAGGGGAGCTGCCACTTGAGTCTTTTCCTTCCCTTCCTCCATTTATGTAGATTCCGTTTGGGAGCCCATTGCAATTTTAAATCATTCTAACCCTTCGCATAAACAGAGGCAGCCCTGACTTCCTTGGCCCACCCTCAGGAGAGGGGACTTGGCAGGGTGGGGCCCTGGGGTCAAGTTCAGATAAGAGCAGAGGGAAGACAGCCTGATAGTCATCCAAAGGGCCACTTAAACAAACCAGGGAGCTAAGAGATTTGTGGCTTCCTTTGGGGGGGAATCGGGGTCTTTTCTGAACTCCCTCTGCCAGGGAACCTGTACCCAAGTACGCCAAAACTCTAAGTGATTAAGAAAGAATCTTCAGGAGTTAGAGCGATGCAAAGTCTTGAGCCACCATGTAAAAGTATTTTTTCTTTTAAAAACATGAAAAAATCATACAAATCGCTTTTATGAGTCATCAGAGAATTCTTTTTAGCAGAAATCATAATAACCATAGTTTCCTTTTAAAAATGACTTTTGACAATTCACTTTTTTTAAAAAAAAAATTAATTTGTTTTAGTGAGTGTTAGTCTGTAGGTCACTAAAATCAAGGTGTAGATCTCTCAAAGAAAGTTCAAGTGGGTCTCTTGACAACATACGGGGGGGAGGAAAGGACGGTGGAGAAATCAGACCACTTGATTAATATCTGTCACCACTCCAGTCCTCATAAGGAGAGGCCTCTTCCTCAAGGAGACCTGCTTGCTGAGTAACTGGAAGAGGAGACAAAATTTCCAGTGGGAGAGCAAACGCAAATGTTAGGGATAAAAGCAAGCTACCCTTCAAACCCTGCCTGCATCCCGGATTGATTCACTGTGTCCGTAGCCCCACTGTATTTATCCATCCACCCAACCACCTCCCAAGCAGTTTCTACAGAAGTTATTACTTTAAAATTCGGATCTTAAATAAGCCTCAATCTCTTTAGGAAGTTCATCAGTAAAGAAGTATTATACTCCCTATGTTAAAGAGGAGAAAGTGTGAAACAGGGGCAAAGTGAGATAACGTTGAAAGGAGAAAGGAGCATTCAAGTGCTTCTTTAGGAGTCTTCTGAAATTCTATAGGTAAATCCTCTGAACTAAAGGGAGATTTGAAATTATGAATTTTCTTTAAAATTGACTAAAATCATCCGAATTGCTTGTCTTGAACCCCAACCTGTTCTCTCCTCGCCCCTTCCTCCTATAGAACACCTTTACTTTACTGTAGGCGACAGACATATTTTGACTACTGAGAAAATCTTAAATTTGCTATGTGTTATCCAGTATTTACAGAAGCAGCTGTGCAGAGCTGTTTGGATGACTTAGGATATGTTTTGTAATACTCCAATATTACAGTTTGTTTAGGCCCTGGTACACCAGAGTCCAAAGACATAAACTCGCCTTCAGCAGGGAGCTTCAGAGTCCTTGGATGCTGCTGGTAATATTCGTTTTATAAAAAAAAAATAATGTTTCTGGCGGCGAGATCCTAGCTATGCATTAAATGTCATCTCGGCTGAATTCTGTGTTCCACTCCACAGCCTTCTTTGAAACACTGAAAGATTAAGGGATTCGAAGTAAATGAATTGTAACTGTAATTTCAACCTAATTAGAATTGGTTTAAAATGCCAGTTTGAACTGTGAACAGGCTAGGCAAGAACAGTATTGGGAAGTCCATGTAGTATATAAGACAGTTGATATTTTGCCCAACTTCCTGATACTTTAAAAACATAAAAGCAAAACAAAATATGAGATATCTTTGGCCAGCAAGTCCCTTCTTGTCTGTTTGGTCTGTGTTAAAATGTAAATGTTTGTGTTCCCTTACCTATTGTTTATAGCTTTTCATCCCGGTTGCTTCTTTTTTCTGTTTGAAGTTAGATATTTTTACATTCTCTTCACATTGCCCATCAATGACAAAATCTGGATTACATTAGCAGACATGTTAGTTTGAAATTTAAAAAATAATTTTTAACCTAGCCCAAGTATGCTTGTTAACAATTGGATAATATACATTATTAATGAAATTTCCCTAGATTTAATATTACCTCTTTCCCCATCCAAAAAAAAAAAAAAAAATTCCTCAGAGATCGATACCAGTAAATGACATGTGAGTGCCCAAGTATCTTTGATTCCTGCTGCTTTTTAAAAAAAAGAGAGAGTGGTGGGAGTTAAACTCCTAATTTTTGTATTCTTAAATACCAATATCAAACAACCTTTTCTTATTTAGCCACCGTGATAATTTTATCCTGTGTTTGTTTCTGCTTGGTGAAGGTCTCATGAATTTGCCAAATTACTAATGAGGATAGTATTGGAAAGAAGAGAGGGGCGTAGACAGGGAACACTGTGAAGGGAACAGCAGTGGGAGGAAGGTGGTTTAGAATACATTTTGGTAGTTATAAAACAAGATTTATTTATTTTAACCTGTTTACAGATTCAGTCCCAACAATGAGTTATTCAATTTGAAAGCCACGTAGTCGATGCAGCCCCTTGTCTACTCAGTGAATGTTGAGTTAAAATAGAGAAGCCTGGGTCACCACAGGGAGATAGGGATAAGGAAGTAGAAATATGTGCCCAAGGAGGACATTTCAACACTGTGAGCTAATCTGACAGAGGGAAGTGAAAATAGTGAAAAAAAATGGGAAAATTTCTAAGAGACTAAAAAAGCAGAATAAAGCAAGCACGTTTTGCAAGAATAGAAGAAATTGGTAGCAATAATCAGACAACTGATCAGGGAGGTTTATTTCAACGATGTCTTTTGAAAACAAAAGGGAATTATCCTATTACTGCTCTTAATTAAATGGCAACAAACACACTTATAAATGGGAACTAAATACCTAATTAGAGGGTGCATGGGGAATAAATAGCAGTGTCTTAAAATCTCCTTATAGAAACATGTCCAGCAATTGGAAATGAAAGGATTAAAAAGAGGATAAACGGCCCAGACTTTGTTTGACAGTGCACCTTGGATAAAATAGAGGAAAACACGTACCTACTTCCATGAGAATAGAGGATCCTGGGTGTATCTTGGGCTTGGAAGTACGTTCATCTCTCATAGTGAGTTGGTGCATTTTCTCTGTCGTGCTCCTAAGAACCCAAGCACTGCAGCAGTTGTAATGAACAAAAACAAAATGTAGTCATCTGGAGAACACAGGGAAAGGGTCTTGGGTAAACAGACAATGAAGATGGCAATTTGGAGAAACATGACTTTGATATCATACAAGTGAGTCAGTGGCCGTCTTATTTACATATAGAAAAAGAGGACTGAAAATATAGTGCTATGAAAAATAATGTAGCAATTATTAGGTAAAAATTGGGAGGCAGAGAACAGAGGAAGGAAAAATAACAGGAAATTGAGGAATGGCTTACTGTCACCAATTCAAAAATAACAAAAAATGATTATATAATTGGAATGAATAATACAAATTTCACTACTGACTGAGAAGGTACCATGAAGGATGTCAGGAATGATAAGAATAAATACAACGGGGGCATTTTGATTTGAAATTTTCTATGACTACTTTGAAAAATGGAAACAATGGAAATATAGCCAATAATAAATGTCGAGACCAAGAAAATGGTTTCTAGAACGATCAAATGATGGCCAAGAAGTGGATACTGTTGCAGAAAGCATCTTCAGGTCATGCTTTTTAGAGCATTTTACCTTGAAATTCCTTTTTTTATTACCCGAGTATCAAAAATATTTATCCACCAGTTCTCTTCAATAACCTTAAGAGAGCTAAGTATTCGATAACATTAAAGGAATTCCTCATCAAGATCAGCTGTGTTTGCAGAAAACCTCAATCATCTATGAGGTTAACACATATTTGGGACTCGCAGATGTAAAAATGCAACCCAATTGGACCCCTGAGTTGAGGGGAGTGCATACAAGTGAGTGCCCCTTTTCTCTGAGGTCTGTTGATCTTGTAACTAGAAATAAACAAAAGGTACAATTCTGGTATTTTTTTTCTGTGCACGCTAGAATGTACTGCTAGTGAAACTCAAGATCATATAAATGAGGAGGGGGTTCTCAAAGATGAACCACAGAGGGACAGTTTAATTTATTTAAGAGTCGTCGGCAAAGATGGAGTTTAATTGTAGCAGATGTAAGTTTAAACACCTAAAAGTAAGGTCTGGATCCTGTTAGGCCTGTCAGTGGAGGTCTGGGCAAGTAAAAGATGGGTCAGGCTATGAACTTACAAACACAAGACATTCTGTTTCTTAAACATGAGGAATTAACAAGAGATAATTTTATTCACGAGATGGCAACTTTTCAAAGTTCTTGCTACCATTAGTCTTGTTCCAACTGTACTTTTTGACCTTTTGTGGCTTTATTAGGTGAATTTATTAAATGTTTCATTATTTGAAAATTTATATTTAATTATGCATACTGGCATAAAAAGTAAATCTTCCCATTAATAACTTTTCTGTTGTTTGCTTAAGTTGTGATTGCTATTCCTTGGCAACCTAAAAAACATCATTTAATGTACTTTTAATTTTAGAATAATTATGACACAAACACACGCAAGTGTACGTATAACATTCCTGATCTCTTCATTTGTTCCTTGCCTGGTGTTTAGGTGGTGGCTCTTGGGGACGTTCCTGATGGCACTCTGGTCACTGTGATGGCCGGCAACGATGAGAACTATTCCGCTGAGCTGAGAAATGCTACCGCGGCCATGAAGAACCAAGTCGCAAGATTCAATGACCTCAGGTTTGTCGGTCGAAGTGGAAGAGGTATGTATCTGTCAAAACTGAACTTGAAACACATGTTCTATGGCAACAAACCCAAATTTCAAAACTTCTAGTGGTTTCTGTGATGGAGTCCATAGAAATGAAGTCTTTCTTAATGTTATTACTGCTACACCAAGCTTTTTAAAAATATTTATTTAAAATTTAATATTTTTAGCAGAATCTAACTTACAGTATTGCTTTGTATTACTGAATTGGTTTAAGACTGATTTGGAAGGTGCAAAACATGAATTTTGAATATCGAAAAAAAAGTCCTTAGATTTTTATTAAAATGTAAAAATGTAAAATTTACCGTAGTGGAAACCAAGATTATACAACAGGGGTTCTTTCTGATGATTATCAACAATCTATCTAATGGAAACCTTTAACTTACAATCTGTGTGTTATCTGTGACAAATGACAGAGTTTCAAATGATCACTTCTAATAGTTTTTAGGGATCGCTAGTGTATGATGTTGAAACACAGTTTTAAGGATAAAGTGTGAAGACATAGTATTAGTAACATTGATAGCAATATGACCTTCCTGTTTTATTTCTTTTGAAGCCCCTATTATTATTTGGGGGGAGTGGTTAGGCCTGGTTAACATTTGAGGTGCTAATAATACTAGAGACTGGATTATCATCCAAGGATCTGTTGTTGCATTAGTTTAGCTCTATGTGTAGTATTATTTTTTTTGCCTTTAACCCATTATCGAAGTATTAGAGGAAAGAACAATCTTGGCTCATTGTAATTCCCTCTGGTTTCCAATTATTTTCGAGTATCATGTTTTCCCTATATTGTAAGAACCTAAGTCATATTTTATAAACAGCAACAAGTACTAGAACTGTAATTGAAGGATGTAGGACAGTTTTCTTCAATCTCATTTTCATTTAATAATATAGCACTGAATAGTCTTATAAATAAGCTATTTTAAGTATAATAGAACACATAATAAACACCTAAATAATAGTAATAACTCTTGTATTCAAATAAATAGAAGGTGCAACCAAAGAACATTTAAACATAAGAGTAATCATGACTCTTTATAAATGTATTTAAAAATATAAAAAAATTTCTGTTCTCGGGAAATTTGATTAGTCAGGAAGGGAAGGAGGTAAAATGTGTGTTGACTTTTTTGGCTATTGTGTTTGCTATCCTAGCTGTCTGGAGCATTTTCATAATAGAATCGTAGCTGGAGAAAATAAAAAACATATAACATGATCGAAAATACGTGCTCATGGTACTATGTTAATAATAGGGTGATGCAAAGAAAATTATATCCACTTATTGAAAGCATGAGTGACGCTATAAGATATAGAAGCATAAGTCATTAAATGGGTTCACTTGTTATATTAAAAGTCCCCACCTTTCTGTAAATGGAATTCTCATTATGATTCAGAGATGTGTGTTTAGAAAACATCTTGAAGGCTTTGGATGAGTAGCTGGCAGAGCGGGTGCGAAGCCAGTAAAAAACAGAGGCCCCGCAGCCTGGTCCATGCCCATCTGCCTGGCGAACACTCCTCGTTCAGTTCCTGTGGATTTCTACTATTAGGAGTCGATAGCTGACTATCATTTGGTTGCTTTTCCTGAGAAAGTATTATCAATATAATATGCATCTATGTGGGTCTATGTGTTAGATTTTGGTTATAAAAGTTTTGAAAACTATTTAATGGTCCATGCCAGTGGTATTTCCCCATAAGAAGTTCAGCAGTGGCTTTCTGACAATACACAGTAAATCGGTGATCGTAAAGAATGAGATTTTGAAAGCAGTATGCTTTCTTTTCTGGCGTTGAGGGCTGATCTCTCCCCTCTCATTGGCCATTTCTGTTTTGAGTGGGTGACTAATAGGTGCTTGTGTTTACTTGGGTAACAGTGAACTGTTTCCCCAAGGTGTGGATTGTTTGCATTTGGCTGCCTGATTCGTGCCAGTATGCCCTTGAGTTTGCATAAACCCCAAAACGTAAAATAGCTGCAACCAAGGCTGGGCTGTCTTCTCATACCCTGGAATGAGAAAATTAATTGAAATGCCATAAATGGACAATATTTGTTTTGAACTGGCTCTCCTTCCCACCTGTGATAATATGCAATCAAAAACACAGGAACCCTAATTGAACGTTCGACTCAATTATGGTTACCGGGTATATTGTTAATCTTGAGTGATTTTTTCCTTTTTTTTTTTTTTTTGGTCAAAGCTACAAAACAAAATGAGCTGTCAAGAGGCCTGGTTTGACCCTGTCTCATAATTTCTCTCCATCGTCATAAAATACAATTTGATTTTGCTCTTTCAAGTGTAAGTGTCAACATCAAAGCCTGCCAGATTTTTTTTTTTTTTTTTTGCAATTTGCTTCCCATTAGGAAGAGAGCAGATGATTCTCACTAATTTTGACAATTAGTCTTAATCTTCCTATCCGAATCTTATCCTTTAAAAGTTTCATTACGTTTTATTAAATGATTTCAAGACTACCTACTGTTTCATTTTTGTTTTTGAAAATGTGCCTGAAAATATACCCTTGGCATTGACACAGCACACGGCGGCCCAAAAAGGTCCTGGCTGTGGGCTCATCCACACTTCCAATGCCAACTTTGAATTCTGTCAGAATCCACTGGTCCATCCAACAGATTCTCAGAGAGGCCTGGTACTTGCTGCAAAATGAAAGGTAGAAAAGGAAGTTCTCTTTTCTTTCACCAGCTGCCAGTCGGTGGGGATCGTAAATCTTGTAGAAATTGCCAGAGGTTGAGCATGGAAGGGTTTTTCTCTGTGCTACAAAACTGATCTGTCTGGGCGCTGGCTGAAGTCCAGGCTCACAGCTCCTAACCTCAGGTTCAGCCCGCAACTGGGAAAACCTGCCCGTCCGGCTTTTAAGGGCCTTTCTGACTACACTGGCCCCTCGCAGCCTGAACCTTCTCCCTTTTCTTCCATTCCCTCCTTTTTCTCCCTGGCCGTTTAATCTTGCTCAGGGTATATCTCACCCTTGGAATGTTTCTCCCTTTGATTTAGTATCTCTGTGTAAATTGACCTTTTCTTTACAATGGAAGAGGAGACAGCAGCTCCTGGGAGATGAGACAGTTAGGGACCATCTTAGGGAAGTCAGACTGAACTCCAGAGGTTATGTGAGCACACAGGTGGTTGTTCTGAACAATTCAAATTTTAACCACATGGTCTGGGACTATCTGTCACCTACAGAAAATCGAAGTTCGGAGTCAAAGGAATTCTCTTTGGTGAGATTAATTTGTTCAGCAGTTTGCATCAGTTTAGTCTGCAGTTGGTGCAGGTGCTACTGCTGTTTTTAGAATTATAAGAAAGTATATCATGGCTTCGGCTGAGAGACTTTTAAGAAGTTTTAGCGGTGAAATCTGTGAGTGCTTCATCCCTGTTGGAATATTTAATCACTTGCGAAAAGAATCAATCAATCAGTGAATACAGTTATTTCATTTTAGAACCAAAGAAAAAAATCTACTAGACCCCATCACCAACCACATCATAAATGGGGCAAGATAACTCACTGCAAATTTCCTTCTAATTTTCTAAGAATATGATTTTTAGCCTTTTGGGAATATCATAGATAAGCTTTAAAATCCTTTGGAAGACTTTTCCCAAGGGGGAAAATATGCACATGCGGACTTTCACACAAAATTTCATGTACAATTTCAAGTTTCCAGGCTGCTGGAGCTCTTTTGTGCACCTTCCGGGGACCCACGGCCCCCAGGCCAAGAATCTGTGAATTTGGAATTTTGCCTTGACCATGGAGGGCCAGCCTAGGACTTGCGGCACATACCTGGAAAATGAATAAATAAATGAGCAAATGAAGTAGACATTTTATTGCACCCCATGCTGTTTTGGTAACACCCGTTTTTATTATAGCCAGGACCTAGTTTGTATTATTAGGAAAGTACATCCCATTCAAACTGCTAGTCCAAGCCTTGGGACGGCCATCAGGTGTGCATGGCCTTGTAAAGGGGAGAGGCCCATTCTGTCATCGAAAGGACAGTCTCTTCTCTAGTGTACACGTCAGCTCCTGGCTGCGGATCGGCAGTGCGCATTCTACGCCCAGCCCTGCGAGGCCAAGTGTTCTGTGGCCTGTCAGGATGGGGTTTAATTTCTTGGTGGCATTTGTGTTTATGTTGACCTCCCTGGCAACTTTAATCTTGCCCACTTTCAAAATAGTACCCTTTCCCAACACTTTTATAAAATGAAATTCCTTCAGCATGTTCTTGCTGTGGATGTCTTTTCAGACATAATATTTATCCTGTCGCAATCTGGGTTAGTGCATATTTGTGTAACGTTAATTCTTTAAGGCATTTTCATTCTTAAGTTATTTTACACTGTTTGGGAAAGAGTATGGGGAGGTTACCTTTCAGACGAGTGGAAGACTGGTGGAGATGAAGAGAAGGTACGTTCAGAGAAGGACAAACTGTACTGGCATTCTAAACAAAAGACATACGTCTTTCTGTCATGGTTACTACTGAGAGATGGTCTGAATGATTCACGATATTATTCGAGGATCCAAGTCATTCTCTGTTCAATCACAGATTCGTACAACAGGGGAAGGAAAAATTTATCTGACAACCCCAAAGTTATTTCAGGGATAATGTTCACAATACAAGCTGGCAATCAGACCTCCTGGTGAGAATACAAGGAAAAGACCTGAGTTATATTAGAATCAGCTCTCCCATTTTCCCTCCTTTTTCTCTGTTGTCATTGATCTACACTTTAAAATAACATATATATACTGAAATCTGCTTTCAGATTTCAGTGTGAGCAAACATGGATGAAAAAAGACCCGGCCTCTCAGCCAGCCTAGCAACTACTTCCTTTCAATGGCAGACCAAAAGCTTGCATCCGTGATCTGATGTAGAATTCATCTCCAGCGATCGGATTTCTCATTCTATTTTTCATTTGCCAATAAGAGAGCAGCAACACTTTCTTCAAGCAAGTTGCTCCCTGCCCTGCTTAAAGCCTGGGGTGGCCTGGCTATGGCAAGGACCAAAGAGAAAAGCTTTCTTGA